AACACCCACCCACCCACCCCTTCCCCTGCCTGTCCTCAGGTCCTGGGACATCCCATTTCAGAGCAGCACCTTCCGGACGTGAGCCTCGTTGGCGAGTTCTCAGACCCCGGAGAGCTTGGCAAGCTGCTGCAGCTAGTGCTGGGCTGCGCCATCAGTTGCGAGAAAAAGCAGGGTATGGGGGGGTTAAGGGGTCTGCAGGGGAAGACACGAGGGAATTCTCCCAAGTCTCAGTCTTCCTAACTTTGATCCCCAGAGCATATCCAGAGAATCATGACACTGGAGGAAGCAGTTCAGCATGTGGTGATGGAAGCCATCCAGGAGGTAGGTAGGGGTGCCCAATATGGCAAGGAGCTTCAGGGGAGGGGACATCTCCAGGGCAGAGGCAACTGGGCACAGGCTCTGCCCTGGTAAGGTCTGGGCTCTTGGAACTTAGCTGGCCAGATTCCCTGTCTCATGTGTCTGCCAGCTTCTTCCAGCTCCAAGAACCAGAGGACCAGCCTCCTTGTATACTGGATGCACAGCAGGAGGGCACTCTATTTTGGGGCTACAGGGGAGAAATAGCTTTGGAGACAGGAGGATGGAGAGGTCTCAGGCTGGATTGTAAAAGCCTTGAAGGCTGCTTTCAGAAGGCCCCATTCATCTCAATGCCACCCCACCTCTCTCTAGCTCATGACCAAAGATACCCCTGATGCCTTGTTGCCAGAGTCATATGGGAACTTTGACAGCCAGGTAAGGGTGGGGGTCTTGGTTAGGGTCCCAACCCCATTACTGATTCTTAGGGATGGCTAAGGAGGAAGGGTTTGTCCTTAAGCCTGTAAACTACCCCCATCCTTCAGGGTCCTACCTCTTCCCTTGCCAGGAACCCAAGGTTCCTGCATCACCTTCTTCCAGTCCCCTGGGGTCCCAGCCCTTTCTTCTTAGATCCTGAGGGTTTCTTGGCTCCCTCCATTCTGCCCCTAGAGATCCCAGCCTCCTTCCCCCAGTATTCTCCCCAAGATTCCTGAGTTCCTTGCTTCTCCCCACCCTCCCACCCCTCTTCTCAGTCCCGTAGGTACTACTTCCTGAGTGAGGAGGCTGACGAGGGGGATGAGCTGCGACAGCGCTGTCTGGATATGGAGCGGCAGGTGGGGCCGAGGTGGGGGGACCACAGGTGATTCCTGGGCAGGGTTGCCTGCATAACCCCACTCCTAGCTCCAGCTCACTGCACCCCCTGCCCACAGCTGGTGCTCCTGTCAGAGGAGAAGCAGAACCTGGCACAAGAGAATGCAGTGCTGCGGCAGCAGGTGGGCAGGCCAGAGGGCGAGGGAGCCACAGGTCTCACTGCCAAGAAGCTGCTGCTGCTACAGTCCCAGCTGGAGCAGCTGCAGGAGGAAAATTTCAGGTATGAGTCACTGGGGCCAGGGCCAGGCAGGCCAGGGGATTGGGATGGTGCAGCCCCCTCATGTGCCCACCCCCACACACTCCCAGGCTAGAGAGTGGCAGGGAGGACGATCGTCTGCGCTGTGTCGAGCTGGAGCGGGAGGTCACTGAGCTGCAACAGCGGAACCAGGCGCTGACCAGCCTGGCCCAGGAAGCGCAGGCGCTGAAGGATGAGATGGATGAGCTGCGGTGAGTGGTGGATCCCTGGGTTCCCACTACACACCTCATTACCAGAGAGCCCTTCTGATGCCACAGTGCCTCTGTAACCCCAAAATGCCCAGTGGACCCCCACAATGCCCCCTAGACTCCACGGTGCCATCGTGAACCCCACTGTACTATTCTGGGCTCCACCATGTCCTCTGGATACCACCAAGCCCCCCGGACACCACCAAGCCCCCTGGATCCATGGCTTCCCAGGTATCCCCCTATGATCCCACATTGTATCACCTAGACCTCATAACATCCCTGTGACCCCAGAAAGCCCAGGGCCCCCCACGATGCTCCCCAGACTCTACCATTCTGGATCTCGTCATGCCCCAGGATCCCATGGTACCCTCCAGAACCCCACAATGCAATAACCTTGCAGTCCCCTGTGACCCCGTTGTGTTCCCCCATGAAATGACTATGTTTTTACAAACCCGACGTGCTTAGTGTGTCCCCACAGCACTCGACCTGCTGTGTCTTCTGTAACTTTAAAGGGCTCTCTTGTGACCACATGGCACCTCTGTAATGTTAAAGTTCAAGGGTCCCACAGTGCTCTGGCCCCAAAGCTCCTCTGTGAGTTCACCATGGCCCTTGCACCCCAGTGCCCTCGTCAATCCCACAGCCACCTCATGACCCCACTGTGTCCTTGGGGTTTCCTCAATCCCTCTGGGTCCCTATCATTTCCCCTGTAACTGTACAGCCGTTCTGATCATCCCTCATTATGACCCTGGCTAAGCACTGATGCCTAGGGCTCCCTTTATGCTCCCTAATGACCCCCAATAGCATCAGGCTCAGGCTGACTCCTGACCTTCAAGACCCATCTCCTTGAACTCAAATGTGCCTAGGTTGACATGACCCCTCTTTCCTTGAGGGCCTTGCATCCAAGATGAACCCTGACCGTAGACCCGGGCCTCCTCTCCCCACTCGCCCCCTCCCCCAGGCAGTCCTCGGAGCGTGCTGGGCAGCTAGAGGCTACACTGAGCAGCTGTAGGCGCCGCCTGGGAGAGCTCAGGGAGCTGCGGCGGCAGGTGCGGCAGCTGGAGGAGTGCAATGCTGGCCATGCGGAGCGCACGCGGCAGCTGGAGGATGAGCTGCGCAAGGCTGGTTCCCTGCGTGCCCAGCTGGAGGCGCAGCGACAGCAGGTGCAGCGGGGGTTGGAGTGCCGGGGCAGCATGGACCTGGGCTGGGGTGAGGGACCCTCATGACTCACTCACTTTGGGGCCCCTCAGGGTGGTGTCAATCCCCTCAAAAGTGAGTGCTTTCTTCTGTTTATATATAGGCCATGCCTTTTAGGCAGGCCAGCTATTCTCTAGGTTTTAAGCTCTGCCCCTTCTCTTAAGCCCAGCTCTCCGATTTCTTTGAGGCTGGGTCCTCTGGCCCCACTCCTTCACCTTGTACTTAGTCCCAGCCCCTCCTTCCCACCCTGCTGTCCTCATCCCTCCCCTTTGTTCAGGTTCAGGAACTGCAGGGCCAGCGGCAGGAAGAGGCTATGAAGGCAGAGAAGTGGCTATTTGAATGTCGAAATCTGGAGGAGAAGTATGAGTCGGTGACAAAGGAGAAGGAGGTGAGGCTGAGGCTGAGATCTCGCTGCCCAAGCCCCACCCTGTACATCATGCGTTAGCCCACTTCCCTGGAAATCAAGTCTGCCTCAAGTAATGTCTTGCATCCTGTCCCTCCAGCGGCTGTTGGCAGAGCGGGACTCCCTGCGGGAGGCCAATGAGGAGCTTCGTTGTGCCCAGCTGCAGCCTCGGGGCCTGACCCAGGCTGGTGAGTTTGGGGCCCATCCTGGGATCCTGGGGTGGGGGTTGGCCTGGAGTGCTATTAGGGCAGGTAGAAAAGGCAGTGTCCCAGGGTTTGTCTAGGTTGAGGACAGATCTAGGCCACGCTGGA